GTTAATCCCTAAAGAAAACAACAAAACATTACTTGCTGTCTCACTGGTGGGTAGAGTCCTTGACAGTTGGTTTAAACAAGTTATAAAATATTAAGCGGGAGGATATGGAAGATTCTGGTTGAAACAAACACAGTACTTCAGTGTTAGAGTTTTAGATATGTTTTTCTCTGTTAAATAAGACTTTCTTCCCATTCTCAGACCCATAGAAGAGGTCAGGTCTAATTCGGGTAAATGTATTATTAACCCACTAGCATATGCCTGTTGAATTATTTAAGGCCTTCTTGCAATTTATTGAAGGATTTATAAAAGATAAACTACTTTCTTTATCAGGTAGGGTTGGTTATATGTATTAGGTTTTTTTCCTGTTAATTCTCTAAAATTTGCTACATTTTGCTTTTCTGTCTTACTATTTGCTGATAAGGATATGTGCCCAAAGGAAAGGAAGCTAAAGATTAATATCAGAAGAAAAGAATTAGAAAAACCCTTAGCCTTTTACCCATGTGTTAAGTATGTAGCTTTTCACAAATGAGACATCCTAAGAATATGGGTATCAATGTCCTATAGTATCCTGACTGTTAACTTATTTTTATTTTAATGTGATTATCTGACAGGAAAACAAATAAAAACTTACTATGATTATATTTTCTTTAGAAAGTACCCTGCACTTCTTATGGCGAGAGATTATTACATCTGAGGGTTTGAAACTCTACTATAATCCATACACAGGCTGGTAAGGCAAAATTTCACTTATATGCTTGATTTAAAAAATAAATATAATGAAAAACTATATGAGATTGTTAGCATATGACTTTAGCCTTGGCAGTACCTCATGAAGGAATATTATGTTAAAATCTTATTAGACATTTTTATAGGTAGAATAGACTTAGAATTAATTGCACTTGTCATTTTTTAGTAAGTAAATGCAGAATAATAGACATAAGATACTTAGTTATCAAAATTTGAAGAGAGATTATTATTCTAAGTTAAAATGTTACCTTGTTTATTATAGGCCAGTTTTTTTTTTTAGGAATCATTAAACATAATTAATGAATCAGTGGTTACTGCCCTTCATATTTTTTTAATTCGTAAATTTGTAAAGTTCATAGAAAGAAGGCAGACACGTTTCCTTTTAATTATAGAAGAGAGAAAATCATGGATATGTACTAATACGACTCTTATTTCTGCAGACTTAGTTTTCAGCTCAGTCAGTGTTTTGATTGTCATATTTCTTATATTCATGATCTAGGGATTTGAATTGTTTCACCCCAAAATACAGTCTCAATAAACTTATCCATTTTCTTTAGGACAAGTAATTAGGAACAGTATAATTTTTATTTACATTCCTATGATGTGTTTTTTGGGTTTTTCCTTTAGCATCATTCGTGAATTCCCAAATTGTGGGCCACAGTTGCTTGGTGGAATCTTAGCAGATGAGATGGGCCTTGGAAAGACAGTGGAGGTTTTGGCTCTGATTCTGACACATACTCGACAAGATGTCAAACAAGATGCTCTCACTCTTCCTGAGGTAGGAGGAGTACTGTAGGGCTTAGAAAAGCAGGGGACATATGTTCTCAAAAAGCATCATATGTTGAACATTTGCTTGACACTCAAGTTAACACTTTCTATTCACTCTTCAGCTAATGATTTATATTAATGATTAGTTAGCTTTAAGTGTGCATGGACAATGGGATGTTTGTGACCCAATAGGGCTTTTTTTAAGTGATGTTGGCCAAGTAGGAAGGGGATATGCAGTCACTTACCAAGTTTCCTTCTAGTTTCCTTTACAAAAGTACT